GCCAGGTACAGCTTCAGTGCCCAAGATACCAGAGGACAGGTCGGGGGCATCTCTTTGTCTCTCCCTCCATTAGCCTCCCCTCCCCCACATCACTCAGTGAGTACTTCCTAGACACTCACTGTAGGCCAGGCACCAGGACTCAGTCCCTGACCCATGGAAGTAGCTCCCTAAATACCCATGGTGATGGTGACGTTGGCTGCAGTCCTGACTGCTTTATGAGCTAACGGTCATACAGGCTTACCTACACGTCTGCATTTTGCAAAAGGAAAACAAGTTTGCCTCTCTGATTACAGTTAGGATCCATCCTAAAGTATGATGGTTCCACAAATTCCTCTAATGTAGCAATTCTTAATCCACAGATCAAAATGCCTGGGGGAGAAGGGAAAGGCTATGGAGACGGATGTGCAACACCCCACCCCAACCCCAGCAGTTGTCCCCATTGACCTGGAGCTCCCTGCCTCCATCCTAAAGAGCCTCAGCTGGAGAGAGAGAGCCCCATGGAGGGAGCAGGTCCACTGGCTGAGAATCCCTGAGTTAATGGTTGATGTCAAATCATCAAAAACACCCTTTACCTAGAAGCTCCCTCTCCTAATCCTGGCACAAGACCCAGGAAAAATTCCATGGCCATTAGATATCCTTACCCCAGTCAGGATGCATTGACCACTCAGAAGCTTCTGTGTTTAATGTTTCTAAGCTTCTTTTTTTAACAGTTTGCAGAAGTCTTTTATTTTATCCTCAGTGTAGGTCTAAGGTAGAGAGAGCAAGAGCACAGCCTGTCAGAACACCTGGATTCAAATCCGCTCAGCCAGCTGCTGGCATCGTGAGCAAGTCGTTTAACCTTTCTGGGCTTAATTCTTTCCCGTTCACAGCAGGAATAATAACAGCCCCACAGCTATTTACTACAGTAACACCCGGAAGGTTGTAAGGATTAAATAAGAGCCCACTTGAAGTGTGGCAGGTGGAGCGTAGTAAACAGTAAATAATAATACTGGCCTGTGTCATCGTTAGGTTAAATGTTGTGATTGGCTGATCAGTCCAGTAAGGTGCATTTTTTATCCCCATTTTTAAGATGAGAAAAATGAGGCTCAGAGTGCACTCTTCCCAGTAATCACCCCCCAACTGCCCACCCACCCACAGGCCCCCTTCTCTCGGTGGTGGTCTGTGTAAGGGAGGAAATCATCGGGGCCGGCTGTCATTGTAAGTGTGATCCTAGGGAGAGATGCATGCTGCAACGGCCAAGGCAAGTATTTTCCATTCAACTCATAGGGGCAGAAGGAACCTAGGTTAGAGCCGGACAGTTACAGCCTTTGAGAACAGGGAATGTAAAGCTAAGTGAGTTTGAGTTTATGCCCAAGGGAGGTAGTAACAAGAAATGAAAGAGTGGTTGTGCCAACTTAAAAGGATACTGCAGCTCTGTAGTTTGGGCTGACCTGTATGCAGGGACACCTCAGTGCTTACCATGACACTGGCACCAGGACGGGTCACCAGCAGCCAGGGATGGGGGTGGGGAAGCTCCAGGAGTGACCTCGTACTGTTCATCACAGCTCACAGGCTGACTTCTCTTCCTGCCACCTGAATGTGGGTCCAGCCAGCCTTCTTTGGCATCTTGTGGTATTCCAGTTATCATTGCTGAAAATACCATCTCAAAATTAGTGGCACAAAACAACATCCACTTTATTATGTTTATGGTTCTGTGAATCAGAAATATGGGCAGAGCCTGGCAATTCTGCTCTTCTCTGCTGAAGTGGTTCAGATGGCTGGAAATGCTGGGCCATCTCTCCAGGGCCTCTGTGTGGCATCTCCTGGAGCTTGAATGTCCAGGATGACTCCTTTTCTCCGAGTGTGGGTGGGCAGCCTCTCCCCCCAGCCAGCTTGGACACCCTCAGAGCCTGGTGATCTCAGGGTGGCCAGACTTCTTCACAGGCTTGGTTTCCTCCAGCGGGAGTGTTCCAAGGGACCCAGGCTGAAGCTGCAAGGCCCCTCGAGGTCTGATCTCAGAGTCCCAGCATGTCACTTCTGCACACTCTGTTGGTTGTAAAGCCAATTCAGATTCATGAAGGCAGAGGAACAGACTCGCCCTCTCAGCAGGGGAACATCTTGGCGAGTACAGTGAGGGAAAGTAATGGCAGCATTCATGGAGGCAAGTTGACACATGTGGGCTGAGAACATCGGATTTTGAGTCACAAATATTGGTTCGTATCTTTGATTTTCTAGCTCTGTGATGTCAAGTTACTTAAGCTCTCTGAGCTCAGTTTCCTCATCTATAAAATGATGATAACGATACTTTACTACAGATGATTGTGGTAAGACTTAAATGAGATAAATCTAGTGCTTGGCTCAATGCCTAACCCCTGTGAAGTCCCTGCCAAACTAGCTATAACTGTTGGTGGTGTTACTCCAGCCTGTCCTTCATTCAGCATCTGCCGAGTCTCTGCTGTGTGCCAGGCACAGTCTTAGGCATGGTCGCAAGGATAATAATATTGAAAGCAGAGACTAATTGGACTTTCAAGTTTTGTTGTTTTCTTCCTGTTTTTGTGAGCAGCGTCACTGGCTGTTCAGTGCCAGCCAGCACCAATGGGGTGGGCAAGCCTGGCTGGGTGGAGGAAGCACCTAAGCCCCTCTGATATTACAATATTATTTTTGGCCTTGTCCCAGTACAGTCTCCTGTTCTAATGCTAACGCTCCTCCCATCTTAAGTAGTGACGATGTTACTAAGGAGAGGCCGGAGAAACGAACCTTCCTCCTTGTTCAACTGTGTGTCCTCAGGTCTCGTCTGATAACTGCCTGTTCCTCTCGAGGGCCCTGGTCTATTGGTCTCCCAGCACTCAGTATGCAAAAGCCCCGTCAGAACCAGCTGCTCCCATGTTTTCTCGTGCCCATGGGCCCTACCTGGCATCCAGAACCGATACAGGAAAGGTACCAGTGTCCAACTCTTCACTATGTATAATTACAAAAGAGGAACTCTGAAAAGCATTCTAAAATAAAATGGAAAGCAAGACATCCAGGAGAGGCCATTTGGCAGGAAATCTCAGTCCCAGTCTGGTTTCTCTGTCTTATTTGAGTCTTTTCCTACACGAGGAAGTAGTTAAAAATGAAAAGGCAGAGCTGCTAACTCAGTACTTTTCAAAACCTCCAGGCTTCCCGAAATGGTCGTGTGAAAGCCTATCTCGCCCAGGTGAGCATCTGTGACTTTCAGGTGAGGACACTCGGGCTCCAAGTAAACTTCACTTCCAGGAATTTGTTTCTAGGCTACTCATAAAGGAATTCACGCTGTTCCAGTACCTTAAAGCTGCACATTTCAGCATCCCTGAATCCACCGTCATTCCCTCAGGCTAGTTACCCACCCAGAGCACGAGTATCTGCTGTGTAGCCCCGACCAAATGGACATTAAGCATCAAGTAAAGCATCAAGTAAAGGTGAACAAGACCAAGCGCCGGCGACTTCATGTGGTGACTCCAGTAGTCGGAAGCCCCAGCCAGTCTGCCTTTCAGAGGGGACCCGACGCACACTGGGAGGCGAAGCTGACAGTGACGCGAGTGCCGGGTGTAGGCAGCCGAAGGGTGCAGCCCCCTTTGTGTGGTGGCAGCCAGAGCTGTCTGCCAGCCCTCCTCCACTCTCATTTGTTGGTGCATTACTAATTTACTAGTCTGACTCATCCCTGGAGGCAAAAAATGGGCTCGGTTCTCATTGCAGGAAGTGCTCAGCTGGCTGTGTGAGGTTCAGTGTCTCCAGCAAGAACAGATCTGTTGTGGGACCTCATTCCTTAACAAGTAGCTCAAAGGAGAAGACACATCCTGTGTCAAACCAACTCTCACACCCAGAGGCATTGTCCCATTGCTTGGATCTAAGACCATGACAATCTAGCATTGACTGAAATCCAGTCAGTCCAGGAACCCATGGGCCTCTTCCACATGTCTCTGAAGTCCATCCTGCATCTCCCTCGCCATCAAGTGGGAACCATCCTAAACAGTTCTCCCCAGAATCGTGGGAATTGAGCTATCCTGTGTGCTTGATTGGGTCAGAGTTGCAGAATCAGCATAAGCAGAATGCTGTTTCTGTGGATTTGAAAACGCAGCTACACACTCTGGAGACATTCATTGGAATGGAAACTTGGGGAAGAACAGGCCTGCTTTCAGCTGGTGCGGTGGTTTTAAGAAAGCTCTTTGGGGCCAGTAGGCACCCACTTCTTTGATGCACTGTGACCTTGGGATGTTGCTGGGACCCTGCCTCTTTGGGGTCAGACCATGTCCCGTTTCCTAAGTGAGAGAGACAGGGTGGAGCTAGAAGCTGTCTTGAGAGGAGCAGTTGAAAGTCCAAAGAAAAGAACCTTTCTCCCATGCACTGCTTTGCACGGCATTCAGACCTGACAGCATCTCCTGTCTCTTGCTGATTTGATGATAAAATATGGAGTGGACCCATAGGGAGAGCAAACGCCTCAAGAAATAGATGGATAATTGGCTCTGTTTGCATGCTGGCTGCTGTATCTGTGAGACGCCACACCAGCATGACTAATGCCTCTCCCCTCCGCCTAAATTAGATTTTGATTGTGTTTCAGAGATGTTCACTGAATCACAGATGTTTGAGGTAAAAAGACCCACACTTCTCAGAAACACCTCCCGTGGAGTGTGTGGGATCGTCCTTGCAGGCATGGCTGACGTGCTGAAGGACCAGTAACCCCTTCCCTTCCAAGGCTGGGGTGCAGCCAGCTGACTATATGGGGCCTGGGCATAAAAGGGTCCATGGGCTTGGGCCCCATTCCCATGGGGCGAACTGGGGAGTCGGCTGTAAACAAGCGTGTTGTGTCAGTGACTAATGCCTCAAGTAGGCCCTAAAGTGGACCTGGATTGTCCTGTTCCTGGCAGAGTCCCACTGACGCATGGCCACATCAAGTGGGGGTAATTCAAGGTCCTGCTAGTTCACCTTCCACCGTGTTCCTCAACAACTCAGCTGGTTCTGCCCTGCAGTGTGCTGTAGTAAATGCTTTCTCATTTCTCTTACAGAATTTAGCCTATGAAATCATCCTAACACTGGGACAGGCATTTGAAGTTGCTTACCAGCTCGCACTGCAAGCCAGAAAAGGGGGGCATTCCTCCACACTTCCAGAAAGCTTTGAGAACAAACCCTCCAAACCCATCCCCAAACCCCGTGTCAGCATTCGCAAGTCGGTGGTAAGTAGAAAAGCTACTCTGCACCCCGTTCGCTGGGGGGAGAAGGGGCTGCTAACCAGGCCCTTGCCTGCTGTGGGGTCGGCCCTTCTCCTGGCATGAGTCCTCCCAGAATGTGCCCCAGCTCAGTTCCTACAAAGTCTTGGGACCATCTGCCTGAACCTGGAGGCACCCAAGAAAATTCCACTTTGTCACCTGCTGCTGTCCTTGCTGAATCTTTGCTGAAGGTTCAGGCAAGCTTGGGAGCAAGATTCCCTGAGGCCTCTGCTGCCATCCCACTGGGGGTTAAACCTCCCGCGATCCCCTGGCCCATAGAAGGGTTAGCAGTGGTTCACAGGGAAGGTGTCCCTGGTGCTCGGCCAGAGGAAGTTATATGCACAGACTGTACGCGGATCGGAGCAGAACTGCCCCAGTTGCATTGCAGGAAGCCTAGGCACCAGCAGCCTGAGGCCTGAGCCAGGCCCAGCGTGCTTTCTCCCGGCAGCTGAGGCTTCCTGCAGAGCAGTGACTGTGCAGAAGGCTCAGCCCCTCCTCCTTGTCATCTGCCTTCCTCCAGGAATTTCCTCCCCTTCCCTCCCACAAGCTCTGCAGACATCCTGTCCTAACAGACTTTCATGACTTCAAGGCGGCCGCCTCTAGTAGTAGCAATACCCAGAAGCTGGAATGTTACCAGCCTCCCATCTGGTTTCTGCTCTGGTTGCCGTATGGCATCCTAGAAACTTTAAGACTCGGGGCAGACAGGCATCCCCAGATGCATTGCTCTCGTGCCCACATATCCTTCCAGATACCCGTGACACCCTCCTCCCCACTGACCCCTGTCCCCAGGGTCAAGTGCAGGATTTTTAGTGTTTTTAGAGAGGCACCTACCTCTGTGACCATGTGGCTTCTTATTTAAAATCCTCGTTCAGTTTCTGCTCCCTTCACCCTTCTTGGCAGCTTCAGCGTCCATAGGGATGATCCCTCGTGTCTGGCCTCTCTACTCCTTGACAATCACTTCTAGGATCTTCACCTCCACCTTATCTCAGCCATTCACTCCTGTGCTCATCCCTCATTGCGATCATCAACAACTACACGTGGCTGAAAACCCTTCCTTCAAACACCTCCACACCTATCCAACCCCACTGGCTCACAATGCTGATTCCCAGAACTCCAGACTTAATCAATTTCTTCTTCAATATTTAACAAACATCTGAAACTTAGCATGTCCAGAATTCTTTTCTTTTTCAGTATTGCTGATGACATATAAATTTTCAGTTTGACTTAGTAGATTTATGTCATGACAGCTGTAAATATTAGTACACTGCATTGTTTATAAATGGCTGATTGTTGGAGTCTTTTGTCTCACCAGTAGAGTGGAAACAATAAGGACATACTTATGATCTGTATTTTAAAATGGCTAAAATCCTCTGAGGTATAGTCTATTATAATTGTATAATTTTTAGATCCCTTTAGATTTGTACACTGATTAGTCAGGGAATTGTATAGTTTAAATATAGTAGATAAATCCTCATTTATTTAGAAAGGCATTGAATGGACTCAAAATTGTTCCTTTTAACCTATTAAAAAATTTTTATATTGTGGTAAGACAATAAAGTGCACAAATCTTAGTGTGCAGCTCAATGCTTTCTGACACATGTATACACTCATATAACCATCATTCAGATCAAGATATGAAATATTCTCACTGCTTCTTTCTGCCTTCACCAGTTTCACCCATCTTCCTATCCCCATCCCCTATGGCAACCACAGTCTTCTCTGTGTGAGTCTGTTTCAGTTTTGCTTGTTCATTCATTTTTTTAGATTGCGTGTTTAAGTGAAATCACGTGGTATTTCTTTCTCTGACTTATTTCACTTAGAACATAATACTTTCTAGGTCCATCTGTATTATTGCAAAAGGCTAAATTTCATTTTTTTGTGACTAATATTTCATTGTAGATACATACCACATCCTTCTTTTCCATTCATCTATCAACGGATATTTAGGTTGTTTCCATATTTGGCTATTGTAAATAATACTGCAATAAATACAGGAGTGCTACATCTTTTTGTATTAGCAATTTTGTTTTCTTTGGGCAAATTCCCAGAAGTGGACTGGCTGGGTCATATGGCATTTCTATTTTTAGTTTTGAGAACCCTCCATAGTGCTTTCCTTTGCAGCTGCACCAGTTTGCAGTCCCACCGGCAGTGTACGAGGGTTCTCTTTTCTCCACATCCCTGCCAGCACTTGTTATTTCTTGTCTTGATGATACTAGAGACCCTGACAGGTGTGAGGTGGTTATCTCCTTGTGGTTTTGACTTACATTTCCCTGATGATTAGTGATGTTGACCATCCTTTCTTGTGTCTGTTGACTATCTGTGTCTTCTCTGGAAAAACGTCTATTCAGGTCCTCTGCCCATTTTTAATTGGATTGTTTTTTTGGTGTTGACTTGTTATGAGTTCTTTATGTATTTTGGATATTAACGCCTTATCGGATATATCATTTGTAAATATATTCTCCCACAGAGTAGGTTGCCTTTTCATTCTCTTGTTGGTTTCCTTTGCCATGCAGAAGCTTTTTTGTTTGATGTGTCCCACTTGTTTACTTTTGCTTTTGTTTCCCTTGCTTGGGAAACATATCTAGAAAAAAGTTGCTAATGCTGATGTTCAGGAGTTTACTGTTCTGCTCTAGGAGTTTTATGGCTTCAAGTCTTACATTTAGATATTTAATCCATTTTGAGTTTACTTTTGTGCATGATCTAAGACAGTGATCCAGTTTCATTTTCTTGCATGTGGCTGTCAGTTTTCCCAGTACCATTTATTGAAGACGCTGTCTTTTCCCCATTGTGCGTTCTTGGCCTCCTTTGCCATATATTAATTGGCCATATAGGTGTGGGCTTATTTCTGGGCTCTCTATTCTGTTCCATTTGTCTATGTATCTGTTCTTGTGCCAGTATCATACTATTTTGATTGCTGTAGCTTTGTGTATAGTTTGAAGTCAGGGAAGTGATACTCCTAGATTTGTTCTTTCTCAAGATTGCTTGGGTTATCTGAGAGTAGGGGGGGTGGGCTTTGGTTCCATACAAGTGTTAGGATTATTTGCTCTAGATCAGTGAAAAAGGCCATTGGTATTTTGAGAGGTTGCACTGAATCTGTAGATAGCTTTGGACAGTATGGCCATTTTAACAATATTAATTCTTCCTATTCACAAGCATGGAATAGCTTTCTATTTATTTGTATCTACTTCAGTTTGTTTCAGTTTCCTGTAGTTTTTCAAATACAGGTCTTTCTTTTCCTTGGCTACATTTATTCCTAGATGTTTTGTTCTTTTTGTTAAAATGGGATTGAATTCTTAATTTCTCTATTAATTCACTAAATATTGCATTTAGTGCAATATCTGTTTCACTAAAATGCAACAGATTTCTATATGTTGGTTTTTTGTATACTGTGATTTTACTGAGTTTATTTATAAATTCTAGTCATCTTTTTGGTGGAGTGTTTTAAGGTTTTGTACATACACTACCATGTCATCTGCAAATTGTGACAATTTTACTTCTTCCTTACCAATTTGGATGCCTTTCTTTTTCTTACCTGATTGCTGTGGCTAGTACTTCCAGTGCTATGTCAAATGTGGTCAGAGTGGGCATCCTTGTCTTGTTCCTGATGTTAGAGGAAAAGCTTTCAAGTTTTTCACTATTGAATATGATGTTAGCTGTGGATTTGTCATATATGGCCTTTATTATGTTGAGGTATGTTCCCTCTATACCCACCTGTTGAGAGTTTTTATCATGAATAGATGTTCATGTTTTTTCAGTAGCTACTGAGCTAACCATATGGTTTTTATACTTTCTTTTGTTAATGTGGTGTGTAAAATTGATTTGTGGGTATTGACCCATCCTTGCATCCCTGGAATAAATCCCATTTGGTTGTAGTGAATGATCCTTTTCATGTATTTTTTAATTCTGTTTGCTAATATTTTGTCGATCAGAACAGAATTCCTTTTTTTCCTCCCCCCTCAAAGCTATTTCTCTCTCTTTTCTTCTCTTGCTTGATCTTTATGCCATTTACTGAGCTAGGACTGTCACCAGGTTGCTGAAGCCATAAATCTAAGTCTTTATTTATATCTTCTTCAATTTTTTTCATTAATTTCCTGTAGTTTTTCAAATACAGGTCTTTATCCTCCTTGGTTGAATGTATTCCTAGGTATTTTATTCTATTTGATACAGTTGAAAATGGGATTGAATTCTTTATTTCTCTATTAGTTCATTAATTTTACATAGAAATGCAACAGATTTCTGTGTGTTGAATTTGTATACTGTGACTTTACTGAATTCATTTATAAATTCTAGTCATTTTTTTGGTGGAGTGACCAAAGTCATCCTTGGTTCCTGTCTCCCACTCACCCTGTTTGCAGTCCATGAGCAAATTCCACCCATTCAACCCCCAAACATATCCCAGATCCTTCCACTCTTCTATTTCCTCTGTCACTCTTCTCATCCAGGTACCACCACTGCTACTCTCTTAAACTACTCCGGACACCTCCTAATGAACTCCCTTCCTCCATGTAGCAACCAGGGTGATCTTAAAACATAGGTCACATCATGGCACCACTGTCCAAAGCACCTAAAACCTAATTTCCCACCACACTCCTCTTTGATGCTCAGGCTTTCCTGTTCCCGGAATAGACGAAGTTCATTCCTACGTGAGGCCTTTGTGCCACTTGTTCCCTCTGCCCTAATTTCTGCACAGCTGACTCTGGCTTGTCATTCAGGTCTCCGCTACATGAAGAGGCTTTTCCAGGACCACCAAATAGAGGTAGATGCCTAGTCATGTTCAAGTATATCATCTGCTTTTAATTCTGTGTAGCATTTATTAATGGAGATTTTGTCCGTCTTCCCCCACAGAAATGTTAAGTTAAATGTCCAGGAATTTTCAGAACATTTTTGGGATTACCTCTTAAACTGTTATATTCATTCTCACATGGGCTAGATAAATCTCATAGCAAGTGCCTCCATCTGACTTTACTCTGGTCCCTGTAGACTTCCAGAAGAGCACAACAGGTTGGGTAACTTTGTGCCATAAGAGGTCACAGAATATTTATTCATCTAGAGGTCTTCACTGAGAAATATGAAAATATACAGTGAATAATAATGATGTTCTTTTAATTGCCTCAAGATCTTATTCCCTCAACTAGTTTCTGTGTTCCATTTCCCTTGGGTCCAGTTGTTTATTGTTAAGAAGTATTCTGTGATTACTAAAAATATGTGATGTCTTCCTAACAGCCTTGTGAAGATTCAATCAAATCATGTTATGAGGTAACTGATGGGCACAGGTCCCATGGCCTTCCAATACACTCCAAAGCTCACAGTGCAAAAGAAATAGGAGAGGTCTTCCTGCAGCTCCCTTACCCCAGCATTCCTGAGCAGAGGGGGTGGCCAGCTTCAGGGGCAGGTGAGGAGACACCAAAGGATGAGGTGGCAGTTAGTTGAAGAAGTTCCTCTAGGCCTCTCCTTAGAGCTCACATCTCACATCCCACCCCAGAGTGGCCTATTGACTTCATAAGCACAGAAGCTAAAATGATTTTAGCTATTTCACAGCTCAGCTCTCTTTGGTTCAAGGCTCAGCCTGACCTGGCCCTGCTTCCCTCTTTACCCTCAGGTGTCTCCCCTATCTCCCACTCTGCAAACTGACTACAAGCCCTCAGTCATTGGCCTTCACCTCAGGGGCTTTGCACATTGCTGTTTCCTCCTCCCCCAACCTTCACCAGGCAAACTCTTGCTTGTCTTCCAGCTCTTTGTTTAGATGGTACCTCATTCTTTTAATAATACCTATTCAACAAGTATTTGTTGTGTACCATTTACAGGGTTGCCAGGAGCTTTTCTAACAGTACTGAACACTACTACTAAACAGTAGTGAACAGAACAAAGTCCTGCCTCCATAAGCATATATTGTAGTGGAGGATGGACAAATGAATATATAATGTATGTGGCATAAGGATTATAAAGAATAGAGCAGAAAAAGAGAGCAAAGTTGGGTGTATTTTGTACAGAGTAAACACGTGAGGGAGGTGATGTTTGAGTGGCAACATGAATGACATAAGGTTGTAAAGCACACCGGCATCTGGAGAACATTCCAGCAGAACAGATGCACACACAGGCCCTGGGTGTGGGCTTTGGGGTTTATTCTGACAGTGATAGAAACCATCTGAGGCTTGAGAGCTAAGGAGTGGCATAATCTGGTTCACCAACACCAGGAAGTCCCACTGGCTCTGACATGGGGTCAGCGGTCTTCCTATGTGCCCAGAGAGCCCCATTGTTTCCCCCCCTTATCTCATTCTAAGTATTGAAGTGTTTCTATACATGTTCGCCTTCTGTGTGCCTTCAAGAGCAAGGGCTGTGTCTCATTCACTGTCCCCCGTGCCCTCCAGTGCCCAGCACACAGACCATATTGCAGTAAATGTATATCAAAAGAATGAACACATGATTCTCACATGCCAGCATCCCTGAAGTCCTGCCAGGGTGTAGTGTTGGTTTCCAAGCAGTGTTAGGATGCATGCTTGCAACCTCATACAGGTACCGTGTAACAGGCATCAGCCTTTCTGTTTTAAAGCAGATCGACCCATCTGAGCAAAAGACTTTGGCCAATCTGCCATGGATTGTGGAGCCGGGACAAGAAGCCAAGAGGGGAATTAATACCAAGTATGAAACCACAATTTTCTGATACTCACCATCCTCCTGTCCTCGTGGTGCCTTGCACGCCGAGCACTCCCGGAGCAGGCTTCCCTTCGTGCCTCCATTTCCACCAAGCCCAGGAGGAAGACCGCTCTGTTTGTGTGGCCTTGTCACGGGCGAAAAGCCACTGGCCATTCCTGGGGATGTCCTTTCTGCACCAGTGACAGAAAGCGCAACCAAAACTTTCCAGCTGTAACCCCTGAGAGGCACGAGTTGAGATTTTTCGCTGACTCTCCTGACTCCCCTCCCTACCACCACCCAAGGTATTTCTAACGACTCTGCCCTAACACTTGCTTTGCTGTATTTGGGGATAATACCTTTAAAAATAAATAAATAAAAGGGGATCTCTAATACTGCCTAAAAGCATAAAAATCTTGGGTTTATTTTTCGCTGTCGGCAGTTTTAAAGGTAGAATCAGAACAGAAGTACCCCCCTAAAACATCTGTGAAATATCACTGAGTGTCGTTTCATGCAAAAGGACAAAAATCACCCCTATGATTGCCAGGAAATACTGTTTCCCAATTTCTATATTTGTGGATTTTATATGTAATCAACTATGTCAGATAAAGAAAACCTTTACATCTATGGATTGATTCAAACTTTAAGAATGATTTAAACAGAGAAATTTATTATGCACAGAAAAATGTGTCTTGTATTAAATATTTTTATTAAAAGAATGTTTCATTAATGCATTAAGAAAACTAGGTTAGTTGTGAGGGATATTTCTGGTTTCATTTCAAATAAAGTAAATTTCTATTGCTACTACCAAGAGGTTTGGGCTGGGTGTGGCAACATAGTGCTGACACTCACCAGAGGCAGGAGATTCAGGCAAGCAGACGGGCGTCAAACCGAAAGTGCTGATGCGGCCATAAGCCTGCAAAGATTGTTTTTTTCTTTTTTTTTAATCTTCACACTTTAAAGTGTTTTAAGAACATGTTAAAAAAAAATCTAGGGCTCCTGCTGTCAAGATTTCTGTCATGGAAACCTTGTTTGAGAAAGGTGTTAATAAAATTCTATTGCAAAAATTTTTTTTCTAGAAAAAATAAATACAAAACAAAAAAAAAAGAGATTCCAAAGTAATAAAACTCTTTTCTTGAAATAAAAAAATAAATGTTTGCTTACTATTTGATTAAATAAAATTTACTTACATTTCTTTAAGGTATTTTAATTTTTTTAATGTCTCTGTGGAGTATTTGTATGATACCATAATGTATATTTATGTAGAACCAAATTATATAAACAGTACCAATATCATTATAGAAAAAAATATAACATTTTAATGTATATTGTTCTAACAGGCCATATTGTGAATCATTTTGAAGTTCATTACAGCGATATTGATAAATTGTGGGATTGTCTGGGTTTTTTTATTAACCATATTATTTTAAACCTAACAGATTATGTTACATTCATCAGTTGGTGAATTTTGAAAGAAGAAAACTAAATTTTATTTCAAACTGACAAATGTACAAGGGTTTAGTTCAGTGTTGAAGAATTTTAATACAATATTAAATTACTTGAACTGAGAAGTTCCTTGTATATATTTTGCCTATTCACTGTTGATATGTATGTAGTAAACTGAGAGTAAAATTACACTAAACTATGGTACCAAAAGGAAACTGTATAGGAGCAAAGTAAATAGTAGCTTTGCTGATACAGAAAAGTGTAAATATGCTTGGGCTTCCAGTTATAAATTTTGTAATTTTGTCATTATTTATATCCTATAAAAAAAGCACACAAAATAAAACAAAAATTGTACAGTCATTGGTGCTTGGCATCATTTTGTGAGCACCTTCCCACTTCCATCAGGAACAGAACCAAAGCCCCAGCCTTCTCAACATCTATAGCTAAAGGGATTTTTTAATTGGCTAAATTGAGAAAATTTGCTCAGAGTTCAACCAGTCTGAGGATGACACACAGCCTTTAAATGAGTTTCAGCCAGAAAGCCCCCATTGGCTTTAAATATTAAAGTGGCCTGTAAGGCAGAATTGCCAGAAAAAAATTCTAAAAGAGGAAGGACCACCAAACTGGATCGCTTTATAGGACGATACAGACGGCGTGTTTGGAAACACATCTACAGGTTTGTCTCAGCTCAGGCTGCCATGACAAAATGCCGTGACTGGATGGCTTACACAAATTACTCGCAGTTCTGGAGGCTGGAAAGATCAAGGTGCCAGCATGGTAGGTTTCATTCTGTCTTTTCTGCTGGCTTGTAGGAGCCGCCATCTTTTCATGTGCTCACATGACTCCTTCCTGTGTGCATGTGTGGTGGGGGTAGCAGCCAAGCTCTCTGGTGTCTATTCTTATAAGGGCACTAATCCCATCACAAGAGACCACCCTCATTAACCCCACCTAACCCTAATAATCTCCCAAAGGCCATCTGCAGCTACCAACACATTGGAGGATTAGAGCTTCACCATATGAATTTTGAGAGGAGACAAACACCCCTTAAAAAAATTCATCAATTCTTTTATTTTTCCTAAAACACATGTGCCAGCTGTGGAGTTAAGTGATAACAGGACAATGTCAGAGAGACACTGGAAAGGTCAATGGTTCACATCCTATATCCCGTGACGGTCAGGAGAAGATCTCCCTGCTGGTGAATCCGTCTGTTAATTCTCCAAAACTCACACCAAAGCAATCACAGGGCGCCCCCAGCCTGATATGCAGACACCCAAGCTTTAAATCCCAAAGAGCTAAAAGCAGCCTCAGTGGGGGTGACATTCACAGAGGAAGAAGGGCAAGTTTCCTAAAGGAAGGTTTGTGCTGGGATTTTAGGTGGTAATGATTCAAATGGGCTAATTTGGCCCCTTTTTATCTTTGCTAACCACCAAGAGGTCAGCAATTCTCTTATTATCTCTGTGGATCAAATGCTTATCTGTATCACTTATGGTCCCTGCACAAAGATGGTACACTCCAAATGGGATAATTTAACAGTTTAATAGTAATCAGTGAAACAGAGGTATAGAACAGTCTCCCTGGGTTGAGGGCTGAGGGTAATGGCCTGAAGGCTACTTGGAGGAGGCTACCAACCAGGTTAAGTGACAAGCCAGCTCCATGAGAACCAGGGATTAAAATACCCTGATCTCCAATGAAACAGACTAGAGAGCCAAGCAATAAACCCACACCTATTGAGTCAATTAATATATGAAAAAGGAGGCAAGAATACAAAATGAGGAAAAGACAGTCTCTTCAATAAATGATGCTGGGAAAACTGACAGCCACATGCAAGAAAACAAAATTGGATCACTGTGTCATGTTTGTCTCAGGTCAGGCTGCCATAACAAAATGCTATGGACTGGATGGCTTAAACAAATGACTCAAAACAAAAGCAGGGAAACAAAAGCAAAAGTAAACAAGTGGAGCACATCAAACAGAAAAGCTACATAGCAAAGGAAACCAACAACAGGATGAAAAGACAACCTACTGTATGGGAGAATATACTTGCAAATGATACATCTGATAAGGGTTAATATCCAAAATATATAAAGAATTCATACAACTCAACACCAAAAAAACAAGTAATCCAATTAAAAATGGGCAGAGGACCAAAACAAACATTTTTCCAAAGAAGACATATAGATAGTCAACAGACACAAGAAGAGTGGTCAACATCACTAATCATCAGGGAAATGTAAGTCAAAACCGCAAGGAGATACCACCTCACACCTGTCAGAGTGTCTAATATCAAGACAAGAAATAACAATTGCTGGCGAGGATGTGGAGAAAAGGGAACCCTTGTACACTGCTGGTGGGACTGCAAACTGGTGCAGCTGCAATAGAATGCAATATGGAGGGTTCTCAAAAATAAAAATACCATATGACCCATCAAGTCCACTTCTGGGAATTTGCCCAAAGAAAACAAAATTGCTAATGCAAAAAGATGTAGCACTCCTGTGTTTATCGCAGTATTATTTACAATAGCCAAATATGGAAACAACCTAAATACCCATTGATAGATGAATGGATAAAAAGGATGTGGTGCATATCTGCAATGAAATATTTTTTTAATTGAAGTATCATTAGTATACAATCTTACCTTGGTTTCAAATGTACAACACAGCGGTTCAGCAGTTACCCATATTATTAAATCCTCACCCCATCTAGTGCAGTTACTGTCACAAAATACAAAGATGTTACAGAATCACTGGCTACATTCTCCATGCTGTACTACCATCCCCATGACCAACTTACATTGTGATTGTGAATTATTGCAGCGCTTTATCCCCCACCCCTCCAATCCCTTCCCCCTAGTAACCAATAGTCACTTCTTAAGTGTCTATGAGTGTGATGCTGTTTTGTTCCTTCTGTTTTGCTTTTTTATACTCCACAAATAAGTGAAATCATATATTTGTCTTTCTCTACCTGGATTATTTCATGGAGCATAATACCCTCTAGATCCATCCATGTTGTTGCAAATGGGAGAATTTCTTTTCTTTTTATGGCTAAATAACATTCTGTAGTGCATATGTACCACATCTTCTTTATCCATTCATCTATTGATGAACACTTTGGTTGCTTCCATACCTTGGCTATAGCTAACAGTGCAGTGATAAATATAGGGGTACATATGTCTTGGAATCAGGGATTTTGTATTCTTCAGATAAATTCCTAGGAGTGGAATTACTGCATGGCATGTTATTCCTATTTTTAGTTTTTTGAGGAACTTCCATACTGCTTTCCACAGCAGTTGCACCAATTTACATTCCCACTTACAGCATAGGAGGGTTCCCGTTTCTCCACATCCTTGCCACATTTGTTATTTCTTGTCTTTTGGATAGTGGCCATTCTAACTGGTGCTGAGGTGAGAGATAACTCATTCTGCATTTCCCTGATGACTAGCAATGTGGAACATCTTTTCACTTCCCCATTGGCCATTTGTATTTCTTCTTTGGAGAAGTGCCTGTTCAGGTCCTCTGCCCATTCTGAATCGGGTTGTTTTTTTTGAGTGTTGAGATATACGAATTCTTAATATATTTTGTATGTTAACCCCTTATCAGATGAGTCATTTACAAATATATTCTCCCATACCTATAGGTTGACTTTTGTTCTGCTGTTGGTGTCCTTTGCTGTACAGAAGCTTTTTAGTTTGGTGTAGTTGCACTTGTTCATTTTTTGTTTTCCTTGCCTGAGATATGTCCAGAGAACAGTTATTCATATTTAAAGTTCAAGAGATTTTTTAATATGTTTTCTCCTAAGAGTTTAATGGTTTCATGACTTACATTCAGGTCTTTCATCCATTTCGAGTTTATTCTGATGTATGGAGATAAACAATAATCTAGTTCCATTCTCTTACATGTAGCTGTCCAGTTTTCTGAACACCAGTTGTTGAAGAGGCTGTCTTTCCCCACTGTACATACATGGCTCCTTTATCATAAATTAGTTGACCCTATATGCCTGGGTTTATATCTGGGCTCTCTCATTGATCTGTCTATTCTTGTGCCAGTACTGAACTGTCTTAATTACTGTAGCTTTATAGTAGAGCTTGAAGTCAGGGAGCATGATTCCCCAGGTTTGTTTTTCTTTCTCAGGATTCCTTTGGCTATTCAGGGTATTTTGTGGTCCCATATGAATTTCAGAACTATTGTTCAAGTTCATTGAAAAATGCTGTATTTTGATAGAGACTGCATTGAATCTGTAAATTGCTTTAGGCAGAATGGCCATTTTGACAATATTAACACCTCCTATCCATGAGCATGGGATTGATTTCCATTTATTGGTGTCTACTTTCTCTCATAAGTGTCATAGTTTTTAGAGTATAGGTCTTTCATCTCCTTGGTTAGGTTTATTCCTAGGTATTTATCCTTTTTGATGTAATTGTAAATGGGATTGCTTTCCTGATTTCTCTTTCTGCTAGTTCATTGTTAGTATATAGGAATGCAACAGATTTCTGTGTGTTATTTTGTATCCTGAAACTTTGCTGAATTCAGTTATTAGTTCTAATAGTTTTTTGGTGTAGTTTTTAGGGTTTTCTATGTATAATATCATGTCATCTGCAAATAATTAGAGTTTAACTTCTTCCTTACCAATTTGGATGCCTTTTATCTCTTTGTCTTGTCTTATTGCTGTGGCTAAGACCTCCAGTACTATGTTGAATAAAAGTGGTGAGAGTGGCCATCCTTGTCTTGTTCCTGATCTTAGAGGAAAAGCTTTCAGCTTTTTGCTATTATGATGCCTGCTGTGGGTTTGTTGTATATGGAGTTTACTACATTGACATACATACCCTCTGTATGCATTTTGTTGAGTTTTTATTGTGAATGGATGTTGAATTTTGTCAAATGCTTTTTCAATATCTATTAGATTATCATTTGATTTCTATCCTTCTTTTTGTTAATATGGTATATGATATTGATTGATTTACAGATATTGCACTATCCTTGCATCCCTGGAATAAATCCCATGTGGTCATGATGGATGATCTTTCTAATGTATTTTTGAATTCAGTATGCTAATATTTTGTTGAGGATTTTTGCATCTATGTTCTTTAAGGATGTTGGTCTATAATTTTCTTTTTTGTGGTGTTTTTGTCTGGTTTTGGTATGAGAGTGATGCTGACCTCATAGAATGAATTTGGAAGAATTCCCTCCTCTTCTACTTTTAGAATATTTAAGAATGGTTATTATCTCTCTAAACATTTGGAGAATTCAGCTGTAAAGCCATCTGGACCTGGAATTTTGTTTGTTGGGAGTTTATTACTAATTCAATTTCATTGCTGATAAGTGGACTGTGCAGATTTTCTGTTTCTTCCTGGGTCAGTCTTGGAGGGTTGTATTTTTTTAGGA